GCAGACTTCTATAAACCTACCTATAAGTTAGAAAAAATCTGAGTAAGAGATCTAAATATTAGGGTAGACTTTGTTTAAGGATTAGATTTCTAACTACATAATAATGGAAGTTGTCTCCTTACTAGAGATGGAATAATATTCTCAAAAAACACTACTCAAACCACAATAACAACCGAATCTATTCCAACAAAATCTAGATATCTTACAGAAACTAGTGAACTTAGCCCAAATACTTCAAAAAGGTGCGACAAAGGAGAAGAATGCACTTGTGCGAAGATACATATTACAGAGGAGAAGGAAGAAATTGAACTATTAGAACTGAGCGTTTCAGATACAGAAGATGTGGAAAAGAATTACACCTTAATAGAAATAAATACAGAGTTTTACAACTTTAAAAAGGGATTACAACACATAGGAGTAATAAAGAATCAAAAGGATCTAAAAGAAGTAATTCTAATTCTAGATAAACTATAAATAATTGGAGAAAGACCCTTGAAACACTGGGACGCCAATCACATAACCTGCAAACTAGACATAATTAATCTAGAATACACGGTAAAAACAACCTCTATAGAATCAACAAATGAAGACCTGAAGGAATTCGAGGATCAAATAAGGGAGTTACTAGAAATATGAGTAATCAGAAGATCAACATCAAAGCATAGATCAACAACGTTCATGGTAGGAAATCATAGTGAAATAGTAAGGGGAAAAGCAAGAATGGTTATAAATTACAAAAGACTCAATGATAACACCCGAATGGACGGATAAAAGCTACCAGATAAAACAGAGTTAATAAATAGAATATAAGGAAAAAAGATTTTTAGTAAATTCGATTGTAAGTTCGGATACTGGCAAGTAAAAATGCATGAAGATAGTATAGAATGGACTGTTTTTACATGTCCAGAAGGACACTTCGAATGGCTAGTAATGCCTTTCGGACTAAAAACAGCCCCCAATCTTTCAAAGGAAAATGGATAGTATTTTTAGAGATTATAAAAACTTTATTCTTATATACGTAGACGATATTTTAGTATTTAGCAACAATATTAAAGAACATTTAGGTCACTTATAGACAGTCTATAAGCTATTTGTAGACAACGGTATCATAATTAGTAGAAAAAAATGGATTTATGTAAAAATCTCATAAATTTTTTAAGAGTAGAAGTTGGAGATGGAAAAATTAAATTACAACCTCACATAGCAAAAAAAGTCCTAGATATGCCAGATAAATTAGACAAGACTAAAGATTTACAAAAAATTCTAGGGATTTTAAATTATGCAAGGAACTTTATAAAAAACTTAGGAAAAATAGCAGGACCCCTATATTAAAAAATAGGGACTAATGGACAAAAGACAGTCAACGTAGAAGATATAAAGTTAGTTCAAAAACTCAAACATATGGTTAGAACCATACCAGACTTATCCCCCCCTTTAGAAACTGACTATCCAATAGTTGAAACGGACGAAAGTCTAGAAGGGAGGGGAGCAGTACTTAAAACAAAGAAAAATAAGTACGGAGACAAAAAGGAGGAAAGAATTTGCGCCTACCAAAGCGGAAAATATAAAGAAAAAGGAAACATCAGTAGTATAGACGCAGAAATATTAGCGATAATCTACGGCCTAAATAGTTTTAAACTATATATTATCAATAAAAGGAAATTTTAGTAAGAACTGATTGCGAAGCTATCGTAAAATTTCATCAAAAGATAGATGGAAAGAGTAGTAGTAAAAGAAGATGGTTAAATTTTTTAGATGCTACGTCAATATATAATATATCCCTGGAACATATCAAAGGGAAAGATAATTCGTTAGCGGATCAGCTTAGCAGACTCATGAAGACTAACTATTTATTTTCAGAATGAGTACAGGAAAAGATAAAGCCAGGGCCTCCAGCTCAAGCAGCACTACATATGGAATGGACAAAGACTTATATCTCCAGACTTTACTAAAGAACACCTTGTTCAAATCATAGACGAAATTAAACGAAGCAAGATTGAACACCCCAAGCTTTGAGAGACTGTATTTCGGAAGACAAAATTTAATATTTTACCCCCCATCCAACTTAAGTTTCAGAATAAAGCCAGAATCAAAGATAGATAGACCACACAGATGTTTGATAAACAATTTATGGATATCATATAACAAAGTACCACGAGACAATAGTTACTTCATTTCAGCAATGAATTCATTAAGCCATTATTTTACAGTAAAAAATGAAGACAAAAAGTTCAAGTTTTATGTGGTAGTCCAAGGAAGACTGGCTAGAATTTTCCAGACATGGACGGAAGTAATAGACTCAATAAAAGACTTCCCCACTCCCCTCTTCAAAGGATTCAATGACCTAAACAAAGCTCTGGATTACGCAAGGGGAACTCTTGGACCAAATTATTTTCTAAGCCCAGCCTTAAGTCAAATCACAAATCCTTTCCCACAATATAATATCCAGAAAGACACAGACAAAATAATATTTTGCGACCACTGCTCTACAATGACAGATGGCTTCAAAAGACAAAATCAGACCATTGAGAGGCTCGAAAAGGAAAAAGAAAAAATGATGCAACACATCTACCTTTTACAAGAAAGAATCAAAACTTTACATTTCGAAATCAACCAGACCCAACCATTACAAATAGAAGATCATCCAAAGGAACAAGGGAGTTCTCCATCTCGGTCTAAAATGGATAAGAAGGGTGTACATTCCCCAATGAATGTAGAAGAAGCTATTGTACCAGCTAAATGTACAACTAGTCTCGATCAAACGGTAGCGAGTAAAGACTTATCAAATCAGTTGATGGTTGACACTTTGCCAAAAAGTGTAAGAATATTACCAGCCAGTTTTAATACAACAAGAACTGCATAACATGGAAAAAGGACTAAAGGATTCTTGTTAAAAAGAAAGAAAGACAAAAAAATTGAACAAATAATACAAAATTCCCTCCATAAGTTACTTAGCGAAAAGACCAAAGAAATCATAAGTGAAAATCCAAAACCCGAACCAGAAACTCCAGCACAGAAGGTTTAGAAAGTAATGTGTACAGAAGTTAATACAATCCATCACTAGAACAATTTTCCCAAGATCCAAACGAAGACGACGACTCATGGATGAGTTTCGACTCCATAGCATTACACAACTTAGACACGTAGAAAATACGTAAGCAATGACGAATCAAGAGAAAAGACAAAGGAAGATAGGTAAGCCATGACGTAATAAACCTCTAGTCTAAAGCGGACAAGAAAGAGGACAAAAATTTGGAACGTTTTGCAAAGCCATGTGACGATGGGGCCCAAAGAGCACCCGACAGGTAAAAGAAAGACTATTCAACTTTTGAAATCCGAATTTCAAATCCGGAGAACTCCATCCTCGCCTATAAATACCAGACCATTTGCAAGAAGAAAAGAGAGATAAAAGAGCAAGCGGAGCATAGCAAAGAAAAAGAATTAGTTTACGAGTTAGCTTTACATATCTCTTTCCCCTTCAAAAAAAAGAGTTAAGTGAGTTTGTAAAAATTGTGTGAGTGTTTATTTTCTCAAGTAACTGCAAAGTCACTCGGGGAGTCCCGAAAGGGAAACCACTCTCCGACCACTATCAATGTAAGTAGTTATGTGTTTTCTAGATCTTAGTAGTTTCTCCTAGTTTTATGTATTGTTTTATATATATAGTACTACTGTTATATAATATAATATAATGTTCATACATGTACTGTTTATACTCATATAATGGGTCATTACTTATTCTTAGTAAATGGTTAGTTCCTTATCCTCTTAGTAACAACGATGGATTAACCTGTAAATACCTAGGGAAGTTGAAAGTCCGCCATGGTCAGAGAACCGAAGGACAGTGTATCCCGGGGTTTGGTTAAAGAAGAAGTTGCTAAGAACTTAGGCTAAGGAAAAGAGATGAACAAAGTTATAAAAAAAAAGGTAATTTTGGGAGAAATTACGTAGATTTAGTAATAACAAACTACCACACTAGATAAGGGAACCGGAGGAGGGAGTACTAAGTAGGATTTTACAACATAATTCAAACAAACTTATCAACCTCCCCAAATTATAAAGGTCATTTAAATAATAAATAGTTTAATTGGTAAATGGAAAATTCGTTTGGAAATAGAAAAGGTGTAATAATGAATTTGGGGAGGTTGATACGTTTGTTTGAATTATGTTGTAAAATCTTACTTAGTACTCCCTGTTTTATTATAAAACATATACTTAGACTGGTTTTAAGAGTCGCCACTTAATTTTTAAGGAAAAATCAATAAAACTATTCTTTCCAAAAGATTAAAAAAACAGAAATCGTTTGAAAATACTTAAAGGGGGTTCGGGGTTCATATTAGCATTCCAGGAAGGGTTTGAAAGCACCCGAAATGCCCGCTAACACGCGATTATCTGATAATTAATTATTTGGCTAATAAGTTTTAAGAATATACACATGGTTGACTAAGAGAAATTAAAAAAGAATTACTTAATTTTAAATTTTTTTATTTAAAATGGTTATCTTTTGGGGAGTTGAATTTTTGAAACCTCAAAATTTGTTTTAACAAATAAACACATAATGACAATTAAGTAGATAGGGAAAGAAGATTTGGGCCCAAGTCTGGATCTATCCGCCTAGGCCAGTACTTGGGCCTGATTTCTGCTTTTAGGGCCTTTGGCCCTGTAACACCCCTAAATACTAACCAAGAGTCGCATGTCGATTTACCGTTGCTTGATTACTAGAATATGTTTTAGTGTCATTTTGGGAACTTGAAGTGTTGTGATAATTGCCCACTTGCTTAGCATAAATTCTTATCGTAATTTAAGGATTTGTGATGGGGTGTTTAGGTAATATTCTAATTAGAATTATGTTTAAACTTTAAAAGGAGATGAGGGATATACATATAGGTATATATGTATGCTTTTTGGGCAGCCAACTTTTTGTTTGGGCAGTCCCTTTTGGTGACATCTGTACAGGTGATAAGTATCACCTTTGTAAATATATATTTTCACACCTCCTATAATTAATTTCGTTTTCCTCAAGTCTAAGAACATTAGAACCTTAGCTTAACAGAGTGTTCTTCAAAATCACAAGAGAAAACTTGGCCCTTTTGGCTGGAATTCAAGAACACACACTTCTTTTTGGTAAGTGACGAAATCTGTTTCTGAGCTGGGTAGTGTTTGGTATTTTATGCATATCTCTCGCTCTAGAACTTAGTTTACAGTGAGTAAATATGATTTGGAAAGTTAATTCATAGACCTACAACTCTTATGTTTATGTCAAACTCTGATTCAGCTGTTATAGACTCGAAATATGGGACGCAACATAGAACAAGTTTTGTCCAGATTTTGGAATTACAAATTCTGTATGAACAGCTGTTAGTGTTTTGACTATATCTTGTTGTACAAAATACATTTTGCGGTTATTCTTGTTTGTTTGCAACCCTTAGAGATGTATCTACATATTTCATGAAGGTTATAAAGTCTAGTTTTGCTGTTTTCCGTTTCAAATCTAAGTTGCGACATGAGGTACTAGGCTGGCCAGAATCACTGATTTGGGAGCATTGTTGTGTTTGTGCAGGCTAATTTTACTTGTGATGATGATCCTATTTTATATCAATATTATTGAGCTGCTAGGGATTAAATAAGTTGTTTATTGTATTTTAAAGGTTGTATATACTCGTGAACAAGTTGAGGACCTTGATACATTGGTTGGACTGTTTCCTTGCTAAAGCACTGAGGTTTGTGTATTACTTGCACTCTTTTAACCTCTAGTATATCTGAAATTGGATCTTGGTACCTTGGTTACCTCTTGTCACTTTGCATTGTCGTGTTGGTATCATTTAAGACGTTAAAGACGCTTGTGTAACTCGCCCACTTGTATGGATTGTTTGATCACCTGGCACTCTTGTTGGGACCTTGTCCTTCTTGTGGATGTGACTTTGTCACTCTTGGCATGCCTCTTGATTCGGATCATTTGCCATCTTGACTCTGGATTTTTAGTTCGTCTTAAGTATGGATGCTGTCCATTTTAAGTACGAATTAGAAATCCATTTTTAATATGGTTCTTGGTTCTCTTGATTATTGGGCTTGACCCTTCTTGATACAGGG